TAAATATAACACACACACACAAAATAAATAACTTTGGTCTAAGTACAGAACCCTGTGGAACTCCACATGTGATATTACTGAGTTCTGATCTTACATCATTTAGTACAAAGTACAAACTTTAGTACAAACTGTTTCCTATTTTCCAAATAGCTAGATACCCACTGTGGTGCTGGACCTCATATTTATTTAGCTTTTCAAGAAGAATACTGTAGTCAATGGTGTCAAAGGCTTTCTTTAAATCTGCATGAATACTAACACAGTACTTTTTTGATCATCAGCTGTTATTTGTTCTTTCAGTTCCATGAGAGCCATTGAGGTCAAATTATTAGCTCTAAATCCATATCCATTCCAGAATGTTTTGTTTACCAATAAATTTATCAAATCTGTTCACAAATAATTCCTCTAAAATCTTTGAAAACTGTGGTAACAACGATATTGGTCGGTAATTGTTAAACATACATTTCTCACCATTCTTATAAAGAGGGACTACCTTAGCTATCTTCATGTTGTCTGGAAATACACCGGTAGAAAAAGATAAATTACAGATATATGTAAACGGTTCAATAACATAACCATTATTTCCTTCACAAACATCATGTCTTTGTTAAGTTAGCATTAGCATTAGTGCTTAGCTTAATTTAGGATTTGCATCAGTAATGGGCGTGTGATCATTCTTATCTACTCCCCAGCAAATTTGATCTCAGTAAGTAAAAATGGCTGAATTATAGTCTTTTAAATTTAGCTGTGGTGGCCATCTTGACTTTTTGATTTTGAATTAGCATTAACAATTTGGCAACGTTAGTTTTTGGCAACTTCTTCAATAATCTTAAGCTTTGTATGTTTAAAGAACGCTGAAAATTTTTGAGTAAGGATGAAATGGGAGATTTTATTTCAAACACATTTAGGCATTTTTATACAGCCGTTAGGTGGCACATTGGACATTTCACAGCATTTATTCACTGGATGCCTATCTATAGTGCAGTTTTGCACAGTTTGCTGAACTTACAGAGACATTACCTCCAATTATGTCTTCAACTTGAAGTGGGTGTATTCAAAAACCTCCCACACTGTTGAGAGTTTAGAAAAACTTTTGATCATTTTTTTGAACCACAGTGCAAAAGGCTTTGGTCAAAGTTTAAGGTTGATATTTTCGAATTTGAAGACAAAAGACAAAAAGTCGCAAATTGAAAATTGCGGCAGAAATTGAAAGTACACAACCAAATGCTAATAAAATCCTTTAATGCTTATTCATTGTCTCTCTTTGAGTCAAACTAGTCAGACACATTGCAGTAGGGTTCTACTCAGAGTGAGCAGGGTAGCCATGTTAGTCTTGTTTTCTCATGTTTCTATTTATTTATTTATTTATTTATTTATTTATTTATTTATTTATTTATTTATTTATTTATTTATTTACAACATTTCAATTACGGAGTATATGATGGAAGGACTGATTAAATCTGGTCACAAACAAAGTTGAAACTAGATTTAATCACTTACATTGTCTGTACTGGATTTGTCCTGCTGGGACACACAGGGAGCGAGGCCTATGCAGTGAATGGGTGAGAGGTGGGGTGCACACTGGACAGGTCATCAGTCCAAGAGAAGATCAGATTTAATCAGTCTGTTATAATCTAGTCACAGTGAAACAAGGAACGAGTGTTTTGGTTAAAAAAAGTGCTTTCAGATGCGTCATATAAATTTCTGTTTTCATTTCTTCAAAAAAGTTAGAGTTAAGTATTATTGTACATTCTATTGAGTATGAATGTTAAGAACATTTTTTTTATTTTGTTAGATGTTTTTGACCTTATGTTAATGGAATTTGGTAAGACAAGACTATATTTTCCAAGTGTTGTAGGCTAAAAAAACAGAATATTCCAGTTTTGAAGAAAACATTCATAATTAAAATATAGCTAGAGGTGTCACAATACATCAATCCACATCAATATATTGATTAAATAATTCAGTTATATAAAGGCTAAACATAAACATTGATCCATATTGTTGTGGGCATATGGTATTGCATTATATGGATCACATACTTGTGAATTGAATTCAATTGAAGAAACATCATATTGTCATCCAGACAAATCTATTTAATATATATGGTGACAAAGCTGATTATTTACACCCCTAGTGTCAATCATCTAGGGGTGCTTTTCACTCTCTCTCTGCAGTAACAGACACACTGGGTGAAAGAAGACAAAAATGCTTTCATTAATTTGTACTGGAGTTAGGATTAGGTTAAAAAATGACAAAACTCACAAAACTTAAACTGCAATTATATAAAAGCCATAAAGCATAGCAAGATGTCAGTTCAGTCATGTAAAGTCAAGCTTTCTTTTGACTTGTTTAAACTTCAAGTGTCACAAAAAAAGGATTTTAAAGCGTGATTTTGTGCAACGCTCACTGCATCCCAGGAGACAAAAATTCACAACTGTGACTACAAACTGTTCTTTCTTGAACAAATAGCTTTTTTTCAAAAACACAGCAAGAAATTCTTACTGAGTATGAAGAAACAGAGCTGACACTCACTGTGCGAGAAAATCTTTTTATTGATAAACAGGTTTTAGGGAAACAGTTCAATAGATAGGCATTGCATTCAGGAGTGTGATTAAATCTAAAGTGCAAATGAGGAGGAAGGATTTTCTGGTGCACCTTCAGAAAAACTCTTGTTGTGAGTCTGACTGAGGAGACACTGTTCAGGAGATGGGAAGGATGAGGAGGAGCCRGGCCATGGACGACACAAACTACTGGAGGGAGTAAATAAATGATGCCCAGATTAAAATCCCAGACCAGCTGGAAACATTTGGAACAATACTTTTTAAAATTGAGAATAATGCAGTTAAAGGACTGTTTTCTCTTGTTTTTAAATAATAAATTTCGGGTCTGTGGTTGCAAAAAAAAAAAAAAAAATAAATAAATTTATATATATTTTTTTATTTGGGAAGTCAGGTTTTGGTGTAATTGTTAAAATAAATCAAATAGTGATTTTGTTTAAGGAGCACACCATCTAAACTTCTCCTTATCTCCCATCTTCTAAACATTTTTACTAATTAGCTGTGAGGATGATTTCTAAAACAAAGGGGTTACAGTATGCATACAGTCTTTAGGTAATCCCCCCCAAAACAGGGTCATGCTGGCTTTAATAACACAGCTCAGGTTGCATCTTTGCTGCACGGCAGCGTAGGACCTTCAGAAAGCTGTCAATCTTGTGCGAGTCGCGGCGGAAGCAAGATAATAGAAAGTTGAACTTCTGTAGTTTGGAATTCCGGTCGTGGCCCAGAATGGTGCCTCCGTGATAGGGTAGAATGGAGACAACCTGAGCTTCTGGACCCATCTGCTCAACAAAAACAGACAGCAAACATCATTAGAAAACATGAAATTTTAGCTCCATTTTATTTCCTTTGTTTCTAAAATTCTGCTCACTCTGCCAGACAGGATGTCCAGGCCATCTCCCAGGTTTTTGGAGTGTTCCTGCAGCACCTGGATCTTGCTGGAAATGCTGTCCTTGGCAGGGTGAGGCAGAGTGTTGGCATTTTTGGAGAGGATCCCCAGGGGCTCGGCCCAGGCTTGGAGCAGGGAGCGTGCCAAAGACATCAAAGCTGACTCCTGGATGTAATAGGAGCAATCAGCTGTAAAAACACTGATCCACAACTTTTGAAGCACATTTTGAGATGCTGCTGAGAAAGTAAATGAAAACAATGAGTGGCACATGGAAGTCAGAAGGCAGGCTAGCTCACAGATACTTGAAGAGTTTGCTCTTTGTCATTGGGGGTTGGCAGCACGGAGGTGTGGCACAGTGCGGGGCGGTCCATAGTTGGCCAGCTCATTGGGGAAATATGAGTGGCCTGGATACAGAAACGAACATAGAAACCTATATGAGAATCTGAGTATGACTAGTCGGATACATTTCTCATGGGATTTCAGCCACACGCAACCTTTTGTGGCGTGAACAAGCTCTTACCAGGTCCTGGGTGAGCCCTGTGCTGAGAGAGTACATTTTGTCTGAGCTCTGTGAGGCTCGGTTGAGCAGGTCATTGATGGGAACAGCCCTGCACATGGTCAACATGTACACAGCTGGAGTAAAGAAGAGAGAACAAGTAGAACAGTGTGAAATCTGCCATCTTTTGGTTTGTGAAGGATTTTAGAATTCAGTAAAACTCTCATTCTGTTCTGACTTTTATAAAGATTATCTCTTCATCGAACAATAACCGGACGAGATGCGAGAGAGCGACTAGCTGTTACGAAACTTAGATTTGATAAGCAGAGCGGGTGACTCTTTCCATCTTAGCATGTTTAAATGCCTTTAAGTGAAGTTTGTCTCACCTGTCATGAAGATTTTGCTTCCACGGGTTCTTAGAGCCATTTCTTTCTCTTTTCTGTGCAGTCMGTCAGCTTCTTCCTCTTCCTCTTTCTGCTTTACTTCTTTGCCTTTTCGCTTCTTTGCTCCATTTTGCCAGCATTTTATACCTACTCTGCCCTGATGGTTTGGTTATGCATCAGTAGGATGAGTGTTTGTTAAGTGTACAGAACTTGCTTGGACCAGTTTTTAATGAGAAACATGGAGGAGGAGGATTGAATGGATGCAGCAGGATGTGCATGTCTGTTTGTGTGGCACAGAGGTGGAAAAAGTTGATCCATGATCTTGATTGTTCGGATGAATAAAAGCACAAGTTTTCGCCTCAACTTCTGCGAAGTCTTAATTAGTTTTAAATAATCGGACTGGAAAATAACTTGTGAWTGTGCGAGTCTTTAGCCCCGTTGGCCTTTTCGGTGTGTTTTAGTTTCCTCGYCACTGCATGTGTTCAACATGTTTCACTGGACTGTGACTTTTGACAACTTTCTCAAAGTTTCAATAAAATTTGCTGCCAAATTCTCCTGGTGGCATATTGTAATGAGATATTTTGCTGACAGACAGCTCACAGTTTGTGTGCGGTGTTGACGGTGAAATGTCTGGCTTGACTTTGATCCCAGTGGTTAATGACAAATTTGCAGGAACAATAAGGATCAATGTGTTGAGATTAACTMTTTGCTACTATCTCACCGAGCTTTGGTTTAACTGTTAGCCATATTTATGTTTGTAACCATTAAGGGCATTATTAAATTCCATTCAGAGGTTCATGAAATTTGATGCTAAMAGACAATTTTTTTCTTTTTTTGCTCTTTTGTTTTCACCAAGAGGTCCTTTCATTCGTCCATCTTTTTTTTTTTACCCGCTTCTTCCATTCCAGGTCATGGGATCACTGGTGCCCATGTCTAGCAGTCGCAACAGATATAGTAAATCAAACTTTATCTAAAACATCAGTGAAAAATATCTAAATTACAAATTTCACTTGCATGTAAAATATTCCCCTTGGATGTTTGTGCAGCTTTGAAAAATTTCCTTTGGCTTTAAGATTGACTTTTGTTTGGAGTTGTTTTCTTCATGTTCCTTCCYATTGCCARTAAAATGGTAGAAATGAWACATTAAGCTTTCTTAAATCTGTCYAGCCATTTTGAAGTGGTGTTTTGTGGAAAAATTATTAACAAAGAATATTAAAACCTGTTGTAAAAATCTCTTTGTCGATCTCGGTTTGGAGAAATCGATCAAACCTGACCAGTCTGRATGTGAGGTTTGTTGCAGGCAGAATGACCCAGGCTGCAGGCAGTTTCAAAAAGGCAAAAAAGGTTTTATTTAATAACAAAAAAGGCTGTCGATGCTGCTCAAAATCTCCCATAAGCTCAGTAGAAAAAGCACAAAGACTCCATACAGGCTGGGGGAACACAGCACAATGATCCAACGCAGACTGAGCACAGGACACTGAATATAAAGACAAACTAGTTAAGGACAACAAGAAACACCTGGAGGAGACACAAGAGGAAACAGGTGGGCAAGGGCGGGGCTGGAGCAGGGCAGAGAYACACAGGGGAACACTGAAACACTAGAAAACTAAGGGAAATGAACACAGATCATGACACTGAGCAGCTAGTTCAAATGTAGCTGATTGCTGCCATCATAAATGTATTCAAAATACTCAATTAAATCATAATTTTATACCATCATATTTACATCACAACCATTTTTTAACAGAAAGTTTACAGTATTTTCTACAAATGCAAATAGCAGCTAACAGAAGACGATAGCGCTTCTGTAGCAAACTAGAGCACGTCCAGCTGAAATTCTATCATAATTCTGTAATTTTATATGATTACATATTATGAAACTAGCAGGAGGGCAAAGCTTTATGAAATAACACCTGCAAAACTTAAAATGAGATTTTTGAGACAGTAGATGTTTTAGGAGGGTAACAATCCATTATTGGCCTCACTCAGGCTTTTAGCATTAGTAAACTAATTATTCTGTACAAGACAAACATGAGCAGGTGTCAAGAACAAATACTTTGTTTCCACGCTTAAGCAGAAATTTTGTTTACATACTGTGTCMCTGGATTAATTATTTTTCACCTGACTTTTTACTTCTACTTCTTACATTTCCACACAATTATCTGTACTTTCTCCTAAGGCATGTTTCATTTTCGGCTTGTCGTTGTTAAAAAAAAATAGAACAAAATAAAACTAGATATATGCACTTCAGGATAGAGGGGATTTTTTGTTGGAGGAGGCGTATAGAGAAGTATATTCTGACATCCTCTTGGTTTGTATGTAAYCCATCACACTATGTGGTTCAGTCKAAGTTTTTGTGCCCATGTGCTCATATCCACTGTAGTTATTTTTAGTGCAAGCAGGCTTGGATTGATTGGATGTTAACAACAGCTCACTTGTGACATCTAGTGGAAATGTGTAAAATGGCAGCTTCTTGTTACCAAAGAATGTTAAGGTTTCATCAGATTCAAAGTGTTGTTTAAAGTACCTCAARGTGATACTTGAGTAAAAGTACAAGTATCTTACCATAAAATTATTTAGGTAAAGTTAAAGTCTCCTCTAAGAATATTACTTGAATAAAAGTCTTAAAGTATATGATATTTGTTGTACATAAGTATCAAAAGTAAATTTCTGATATGAAATGTACGTAAGTATTAAAAGTAAAAGTATTCAGTAAAAATAAGTGGCTATATTTTCCAAAAGGACATTTATTGGGAGGTGACCTCCACAAAAACATTTTCCTAAAGCTGAAATGACTTCAATGTCATATTAAAATGTTAATGTTAAAAACTTTAGGATGAACTAGTCTACATATGTCTGTTTTTTGCTGTCATGATTTGTGTCGTGCAGCTGTCGTGAATTGTGTAAAAACTAATACCGTGTCAGATTGGTATGTATTTATACTTCCCATCCACTGACAATTAATTTCACTCTATTCAGAAGGCACGATTTATCTGTATAGTTTTTTTCTTAACAATAACAAGCCGGAATAAAAACAAGTCAAAATGAAACAGGAGTAACAACTAAGGCTGCACGCTATGTCGGCATTAACATATATTGAATGAATGAATGAATGAAAATATCTTTATTTCAAAACAGATAAAACAAACAAACAAAAAAATGTGTATATATCTATCACACATACATAAATCTTTTGTATTCGGCAGCTTACAAGACCATCTGTATTGAAAAGGAGTAGGTTGAAAGAAAGACTTATTTTTTCCTACCCCTTTCTTACTCTTCAAAAAGAAAGTTACATAGTCTTGATTTTTATTGCTGTGAACCTTCTGATTTCACACACACACACACACACACACACACACACACACACACACACACACACACACACACACACA